CGGGTAAGTGGATGAGGGGTTCAGGTTTGGGTAGGCTGTGGGGTAGTACGGGTTGGGCTGTGGGTATTGGGCTTGGGGCGGGTTCGGGTAGTGGGTTGGGTTTGGGTATTGGGCCGCGTGGGCCTGGGCCGGGTAAGGGGAATATGGGCGTGGGCCGAGTAGGCCGGGTGAGGGAGTAGGGAACTGCCAGGGATTTGGGCCTCCGGGTTGTCGTTGATTCGGGCCGCTACGTCCACGCCCTCGATAGCCGCTAGAGTTGCCCCGATTGGAACTGCCGAAGCTGTCGCGCCCTGAGGATTGTCAGCTGCTGCCCTGCCGCGACTGACCCCCGCCCGCCGAAGGACTGCCGCCGCCGCCGTTGAAGCTGAGGAAGGCGGTGGACGAGCCAGCGTTGGAGAGGGCGTCGGCCTGCTGCTGTTCGACCAAGAGGAGGGCAGATCGGACCTCCAGGAATGTCGGGAACGGGTTTTGATACTGCAAAAAATGAACCTGACCCCGGATGTCATGCGGCAAGCCTTGAAGAACTTTGAGAACAAGCGCGTGTTCCGTCACCGGAGCATCCACGTCGTCAAGGTAGTCGGCGAGATTCTTGAGAGTATGACAATATTCATTTATTGTCTTTGTGCCTTTGACGGTGGTGCGGAAGCGATGCTCTAATTGCATCGCTCGAGCATGCTTGTTATCATGGAATAATTTGTAGATTGCCTTCCTGTAACACCCCAACCCGCATAACCCGATAAATAGGTTAGCGAACCGGGTTGCTACTAGATTGGTATCATCATACAATATTTTCCAATAAATTTAAAACAATTAATTTGAAACTCAAACAACTTAAAATATTTTAAATACACATCGGAGTTTATACAAACAGTGCGGAAGCATTATAATTAAATCAAACATTAAATCCCTGCATTCGTACATCTCCTCCGTCATGCTGCTCTCCGGGATGGACTCCAGAATCAATCTTCCACAACCACCTACGTGTAGCAAATAGGAAAAAGGGCTACACGCTCAGCATTGAAGCTAAGTGAGAAATATCTAACAGTTCGAACATTCACATAGGCGAATCCACTAATTCATAATTATCACATGATATCATGCACACAACATGCTTGGCAACAATCATACAGCATACAAGTTATGACATGCATAATCAACCTCATAACAATTCATAAGATACAAACAACAATGGTATATATATTAGGAACTTCTCTTTTAGTTTACTTTACTTTCCTTATTGTACTTGGCTCTTAACCTATGCTAGGTTAAAGCTTAACTGAATTCGACTTGCCTATGGAGTCATGACCTTCCCCTTCGGAACGAAGGTCAAGCTCAAACCAACTTGGGAGTTCCTCGTTGGGTGTGTGAGATCCCTGTCCCCTTCGGAACGACAGTTCTTAGATCCCCGTGTACACGTTTTTACCCGAACAACCATAGGACCCAACAGGTACTACATGGCTCTAACTTACTATACTTATGGCATACCTTGCCACTAATCCATTCAGGTCATTTCCTAGAGTTCTTCTAGGTGATATATCCAATATTCTGTAATCATTACATAATACAACATTCATAAACCACAATGTATTTAACAAAATATCCAACATAATCAGATAGCGGCCTAACACTGGGTGTAAACACCCATGTTTACCGTCATGCAACACACGGAGTCTCGGAATCAATCCTTGACGAAAACATAGATCGACGGACCCGACATCAGGTACAAGACGGTACCTGTCACGGTACGGGGTACCGTCCTCACGGTATTTGGGTACCGATCCTACGGTACTGGGGTACCGTCCGAACTAACTGGACCTATCCGGTAGGCCTGTCACGGTAGCCACTACCTGTAACGCCTAAAAATATATATAAATATATATAATAGAATTTAATTAATGATTAGATTGAGTTAGGGAATAATAAAAATAATAATAAGGAAAAGTAGTAATAATAAGTCATAAAAAAATAATAATAATAGTTGGATTTAGCTCTTAGCTTAGCCCACTATAGCCTAAGGGTAGGATTGCTTAGTAAGTACCTCATGCATAACCACGCAGGAGCTTGAATTAATGCATCTCATGATTATCTACCCAAACCTTAGCCATTAAGTTTTTAAAAAAAATAAAGAAGAAGAAAAGTAGTATAAATAGAAGCCATAGCGAACTGGGAAGGAACATTAAAAAAAATTTTAGTTGTAAGAAATCTCCTACCATTATAGCATTAAACTAAGAACACCGAAGTATAACGGAGGTCCGTCGAAATTGTCAAACACTCCCTCGTACGTTGGAAATTCTCGATTTTAATTCAAGGGGAGTTACCGCCGCCCGTATAACTTTAGAGACATTGTATAATACGTTAATATATACTATAAAAGTTTATATTCCTTTTTTTTACTCCCGTCGCTGAAGTTCGGGAAAAATAGCGGCATAGTATCTTCGACATGTTTTACGTCCAAAACACTTTAAATTGATTACTAAAGGATATATAAAGGTCATAATAAGTATTAGACGAAGAAAACCAGAGTTTTAAATGAACACCATCGACTATCCGACGGAGAAGATGACCGGAAAATGGGTCTCCTTGGCGGCAAACAATTTCTATAAATTCCTACGTCCAAACTGTTCCTTTATGATTGATAACAAGTATTTTTGTGAAAATAGGAAGAAAGAACGAAGTATATGATGATAAAACGAAGGTATCTCGTCGAGGAAGATGACCGGAATCCGGCCAACCTCCGGCGACGAGGTTCTTCGCCTTTTATACGTCCAAACTGTTTCCTTTTATTTCTAAGAGGGTTTTTTAACAAGTTTTAAGTAAATTAAATGGAAGGTTTTGAAGTAAGCCATGATTAAAATTTGGGGACCAAGTTTGCTGGAAAAATCGCCGGCAACATCGCCGGAGAATCCTTTGATCCGAACCAGAGCCCAACCTTCCTTTCAAATGCCCTTTTTTTTCAAATTTAAGTTTATAGGTGTATGATCGCATAATGATTCTATGCCTAAGAAATAAAAATATCTGTATTTTATATTCATGTGTATATATATGTACTCACTAGTATACACTACGTCAAAAACAGATATTGACAACTGTTCTTTTTAGTAGTCTAATTGTGCTAGTTTCAGTAGTCTTCGGAGCAGCTGTCTGATATATTTACAGACTACTGTTAAAAACAATTGTGTAATACGGTTGACGACACCTGTTTTGTGATGTTTCAGAGTACATGTTTTTGAAGTTGTCCTCGTATTAGTAAGACATCTATTTTCTAGAGTTAAAGACAACTGTGATGTTTTGTTGTCTATCTATAACGAATATAACTGTTATTTTCGACTTCAGACTACTATTGCGTGGTGTTGTCGTTCAACAATATAGACATCTAATTTCAAAAGTAGTTGAAAGATATATCAGACAGCTGCTTAGAAGACTACTAAACAAAAATAGCATCAGACAACTGTTATCTTGTGTTATATTTCTAAAATGTAGACTACTAATTTTGTTGTATTTTAAACAACCGTTTCTTTCACTTGTATAGTGCTCAATAACACTACGCTTTGTTGTAGTTGTCCTTGAAGTATTCAAACTA